TGCTGCCCGGAACTTTATCTTGCCCCGGTCTCCCCTACCTTATTTGGATTTTATAGGATTTTTTCTTGCGTAATTGGAACAACCATTATAGAAGCGACAACGCCGCTTCGTCTAAAATATTTTAGGCGTGTAGGTCATATTGACTTATACATACTGTGGAATTTTCAGGTTGATCCGTTGAATAGTTTGCCAGAAACGGCTGATTAACACTCATCATGAAAAGCCCTGTATATTCCGGTCCAATTCCAATAATAATTCTTTGATGGTGTTCGCGCGTTTGAGGCATTTGCGAGTTCACCCAATAGATATGCGGCCTATAGATTTATTTTTGTAGTGATGACTGAAAACATAGAAACTGCAGAACACATCCAGCGTCTTTAATTTGTATCAAAGAGTCGAAATGTGCCAGAAATGCTTCGTAATATTTGAGCACGTTTTTAACCAAATTATTATTACTGAATGCTCAAGTTGAAATTTCAAAGACTCCCTTCTCTTGGGGATGCATGAATATCGACAAAGAGTGTCCCCTTCAACCAAAGTCGACGAGCCAACCGTTCTCTAAAATGTTGACGCAGTTTTTCATAACAGCTTTGTTTCGTTTTCGTTTGGCCATCCAGTATGTCACAATTCTGTAGTTAATTTTTACATGGATCAGATGAAAGATGCGTAAAAATGATAACAGCTGATAGTATAATCGGCATAAACAGCATTTAAAATCAGTGAGTCTACAAAATATTTTTCTTTCAAATCTCCCATTCACACAATACATTCATCAAGATTCGTTCGGTGCACTGATAAAAAGGTATAAATATGTGGAAACAGTTGAGTGGAATACATAGTGATCTTATAGAAGAAATTGGTCATCAAAACGGCTTTACTAATTTTGCCATAGACATCAAACCGGGATCGGCAAAAGGTGATAACTACCTTGGACTTATAAGAAAATTAACAATCAAAAGCCACGAGCGTAAATTTGATCTGATCCTGAAGACACCAGCGAGCTCAAGGAACCAAAAAAATGCGGTTTCTATTCATAAAATATTCCTAAGAGAAATTTATGTGTATGAGAAATTGTTCAAGGAATTCAAAAAGTTTCAGAACGTATATAGGATATCCTCACCTTTTCTAGGATATCCCAGGTTTTATGGAAAGTGCGACAGAATAGGAAACGAATGTGTGGTGTTAGAAAATATCGTAGAAGATGGTTATAAAATGTGGGATAGAAAAAAACCAATGAATGCTGGGCACATCTCTGCAGTTCTCGTAGAATATGCCAAGTTCCATGCTATTTCTTTAGCACTGCAATATAAGAATTCATACTTCTATGAAGAGCTCACGAAAGAAGTTGAAACTCCTATATCTGTGTCAAATTTAGAGAATAGAGAGAAAACAGAACAATTTGTAAAGTCAATTATCGATTGTGGATGTAAAGCTCTTGCAGATGATACTGAGGCTGTGAAGAAACTCAGAAGTTTTGAGAATCTCATGCCAAATTACATAATGAAGGATATGAGGGATCCCAATTTGGCAATCGTGATAACTCATGGTGATAATTGGTGTACCAATTTGATGTTCAAGTATGAGGTAATTAAATTTTTCACAAATTTCATTTGTCATGCAAACTTTACAATGTCATCCATGATTCAGGAATATTTATCCGACGTTTCGTCGTACGGCCACCATCATCAGCATTATTTTTTCTTAAGGGCGCTACATTGGATTCTTTCTGTTTTGAATATACCCAGATTTTACTTTGTCAATGATGTATAATAAGTTATCATTCTTTCTCGGAAAATTGGAGGACCTTCAGCACAGCATTGTTAGACAGTTCGGAAGATTGAGGAGGAGAGAAATAAATCGTGCAGTGAATAATATTCGAAGAAGGGCACAGTTGTGTAATCATGAACAAGGCCAGCATTTTGAGCATTTGTTGTGATTTACTTTTGTCTTTATATTTTAGTTAATTATTGTTATTTGTTCAAAGTTCTATTTTTCATTGAAAAGAACACAATGTCTAATTTACCTCATACACACCTCATTTATCAAATTTTGATTGTTAATTCTGTCTCCGTATTTTTTCTCGGCTTTTCAAATGAACCAAACTCGGTGAGATTTCGATCCAATAACTTGAACATAGTTCGATGTGGTTGTCGTTTTTCGGGATACAAGTTTAAATACATTTCCGATGTCCTAACACTGTTTCTATCGTATTTGTAATAAATTTGTTTCATATCTCTTCTTTCTTCATTGGTGAAAGCCATGTTTTGCCAAAAATTCAATGACTTGTACAATAACAAAATGTCATTGAGTGTAACAACTTGAAAGTCAAATTTAGAAATATCAAAGTCAAAGCCTATTACGATAAGAATTAATTTTTTTCAATACTTTCAATTCTAATGATACATCATTTGAAAGGTAAAATCTGGTTCTATCCAAAACAGAAAAAATCCAATGTAGCGCCCATAAGAAAAAATAAAGTTGATGGTAGCCGGAAGATGAAACGTCGGATAGCAAATCTGAAAACACCATTATGTAGTAGGGAAAAAGTGGCAATGTGAAAGTCAATACTTCGAAAAATAAAGCCAGAAAAAAATAAAAACCATTTTCCGAAATACTCGGAATTTCATAACTTTCTCAACGGCATATTGTTAGTCAGGTAAATTCGCAACTTTGCCTCAATTTAACCATCTTCGTATTATCATAGTTTCCGAGATCCTAATGGTGAGGATCGAATTTAAAACACCCTGTATTTATAAATACAAGGAAATTGATATCAACATAGAACATGTTATAACACAGTATCTAACCATCAACGTCGGTTACAAAATCTCATTGAATGTTCAAATCAGCGTCCAGCGTATATGGAAGATTCAATACATCATCATCCTTTCTCATTATTACTGTTTAATATAAAATCCATTAGGATAAGTTTTACTCAAAAATTGTTCCAGATATTGTTTAAATACAAAATTACTTAGTTTTAAAATGTAATGGAATTTAAACATTCGATGTCTACAGCCAGACATTGCCCGAAAATCAATTTGCAACAATGTTAAGGTTTTATGCCACAGATCAAACAATTTGTTTGATGTCGAATGTCAAGTGATCATCTTCAGGAGGAAGATTATTTATGTTGAATATAATAAATATTTCTTGAACATTCTCTAAATATCCCAACTCCCAACTATAGTCTCCGAAAATACTCCCAAAACCCAATCAAAGTTTTCTCTGAAACATAGGAGGTTATGAATCTTTCGTCTAATTTATTCAGCTTTGTGAATTTAAGAGTTTTCGGGCTAATGGGATCACCTGAAAACACAAATTATAGGTATGTCGATTAATCAGAAACGGTGATTTGTTCGATAAAAAGATCGATTTTTTTTAAAGAATATCATCGCAAATGATAAGGTAATAATTTTGTTGTAGCTGCGATAATTCTCAAAAATTCTCAAATGTTTGTATAGGATGAAACTGCAGTAACGATAGTTACAAATAAAAGTAGTCAAAAACATAGAAAGTTTCATTCCTCTTTTCTTAATTTTTCTGGTTTTTACTTCTCAATCTAGTTGTGGGAATCTTCCAAGGGAAGGAAGGAAAAAGTCATGTTCAAAATAAACTATGCATGATCTACACATCTTTATATTGAAATTCATACGAATTTTGTAGGAGGAATTTTTGGGAAATGGTAATTTCTAAAATAAAATGATCGTGAGGCGTCTTTTGCAAGTGTTTTAATGGTATTGTACTATTGACATCATTTGGATTTGCTCGTAGTTTCGAGAAATCATTCGCAGTGATCAAATTAATCCAATTTTATCATCATCAGTAGTTTGATTTTGCTAGATTATCACGACTGAGTTGAGAGTTGATATCTCGTTGAATTTTCTATACTCTACCATCACTAGAATCAATAATAAACACGATTTTCAATTTTTCACAAACCATCCCACACGGAGATCATTATACACAATTCATCTATATATCCATGTTATGTGGTTCAATTTTTCTAATATAACATCCATATCAACATAAAGTAGCATTTATCAATAGTATGATTCAGAGACTATTGAATATTCCACTTTTAGGAAGCCATTATAAAAAAAAACGATTTTCATGTTGCTGTCAACATGTTGCTGTCAACAACGGTTACGAGATGGATATTATTGACTCAATTCTTTCTAAAAAAATACAGAAACAAGCTCTGAAGTAGGTCTGTCCAGTTTCGAGGAATGATACTAAACTATGAAACGCTAACTCACTTTGGTGATTCTACTATACAGTGCATTTCTTTAATCATCCACCCTTCTATTTGTTGTACGGGTCAACTCAAAAAATTGAAATTTGGGATAATGAAATTAATGCATGAATACATACATGAATGGAAAAGGGGGTCTTGTGATACATCATTTTGAAGTTCCTGATGAATACGTCACAACCCTAGAATATGAAGTCAATATCTTCACCTACTACAAAATGGCTGAACATATAATAATTGCCTGAATACATTGACATTTGACTAAATAATATGAGGTAATGAGCTTGAGGTTAGTTCAGAAGATGCTCGAAATGGTTGCCTTGAATTTCTTAACATGTGACATGACATATTTCACGCCAAACATTTTCAAACATAGTAACGTCAATATCTCTACAAATATTTACTATTCTCTGCCGTATATCCAATATTGAAGCAGGTTCAGTTTTGTACACCTTTTGCTTCAAATAACCCCATAAAAAAAGCCCAAAGGTGTCAAATCTGGCAAGCGGACTGACCATTCTGTAGGACCTCGACGGCCAATCCAACGAGCGGGAAAAATAGTATCCAAATAGTTTCTTACTTGTCTGGAGTAATATGGTGGTGCTTCATCTTGTTGGAATACAATATCCATATCGAAGTTTTAGGATTCGCTTCGACGATTTCAGTGATGAGAGGTCATCAGTAGTTTCTAGCATATTCAAATACGGTTCCACTGTTAAATTTTGATTAATAAATAGAGGTTCTACAAAATGGTTTCCCGATATTCCTGCCCAAACGTTAATTTTTTCTGGATATTGAAAAAAACCGAAAACTAAATGAGAACATTCTAACTGAACAATGATGTTCATTGTCGTAATGACATTTTTTGTCGTTTTTATCAACAAACAATAACTTAACAAACCTTATCGGGTTGTTGGAATTGCAGATAAAAAGGAATATTTCTAGATATTAATGTGTTTGTCTTCAGGAAATTATCAAATGTTCCGCCATTTTGTAGTAGATTAAGATATTGACTTCATATTTTAGGGTTGTGAAGTATTCGTCAGGAATTTCAAAATGATGTGTCACAAGACTCCCCTTTCTATTTAATTTTTTCCCAGTCGCCATCTTGAAAGTGTCATCTGCCAATTTCACTTCAGAATAAAGTATTCATTTAAAACAATAAAGATGTCGGATAGATCAGGAGTTTACAAATTGACTTGTGGTTCTTGTCCAAAATTTTATATCGGACAAACCTAAAGAAGTTTTTCCAAAAGTATGAAAGAACATAGAAGTAGTTTTTTGAATTAAACATTTGCGAATCATCATTTGACAGAGGGACACGAGTTAGTTTAATCACGATTATGACGTATTTCATTTGGAAGAGAAACATTTGAAACTCAATAAATGTGAAAATTCGGGATTATGGCTCCTTGATAATCAAATATATCTGAATTGTTCCCCTTCATTGAATTTAGGACGCTACGAGGAAATTGGTAAATAGGACAGATCTTAAAAGTAGGTAAAATTATAGGTCAGATAAAAATTGTTATTTATTATTCTCTAGTCTTATGGGTTGTTCCTAGATAGGTGAATAGTTTCGGTAATTAACTTATCATATAGGCATTTGACAGAATTTGTACAAACAGTATCGTGACGCCGGAAGGGTGCTATCGTATAGCGAAACACGTGTCGCGGTTTTGTAAACTTTCGAATGGATATCTCACTTCAAAGTGTGTTTTTTGAAACCTTGATCCTCAGTTTCCTTATAAAACATTGCGAGAAAATTTTTATAACCTTTTTTTCTGATTTGCTCGGCCGTTACTTGATGAAGATGCGTAGTAATTTCACAAACCATATTTAACGATTTGATCTTCACCAACTTCATTTACAAAAATATCACAGTAGCTTTTTTGTAATAGCAAAATGTGTTGTGGTATTTTTGAAAATGAAATTTGTGAAGATCAAATCGTTGGGTGTAGTTTGTGAAAAATACATATAAACCTTGTTCATCTCAGAAGTTTTGTCGAAATCTGTTAAAGGGGCTTTCCCAAAAAAAATAGTTTTTCTTGAACTCTTCATATTCATTTTGGAACGCATCTGTGACTGTCTCTCTAGAGTAAAAAAGTTTTTGTACTTCATCTCGTTAGGAAAGCCTTTGGTATGGGTTACAATTCTAATAAGAATTAAAGACTGAATTTCATATTCAAACTCAAATTCAAATTTATTAACAGATGTACAATATCAAATGAATGTCTATGAATATTAAAAAAATGTAATTACATGTATAATATTTTAACACAGTCTGCTAAGTGTAAATACTTGTGTTCGACTGGGTTAGTTGAAAAAT